GGCTGGGTCTATTAGGCGTTTGAGGCCAACAACTTCTGGCATCAATAGAGGCGAATATGTGTAGCTCAGGGTTGAACTGTGGAGTCCTTGGGGTTCTCTGAGCTTGGTTCTTTTCTTGCAAACATTTCATTACCCGGCTAGGTAACATCTTCCGTGCTAAAACAGGATGGGGTTTGCTCTCTATTTATGTGCTGTGGCCTGCCTCGCTAGTGCTGGTAAGGGTGGGGTTTTTTGTTTTGCTCCTCTGGTAGTTCTTTGATTGGCATATGTTTGCTGCTTGATTGTGTGCCTGGTGGTGACCTTTGCTTATCTGGGTGATGATCGCTGGTGATGACTGCTGGTGATTACCTGTTTATTAACAGTTGCATAGAGATTTACAGCATCTACTAACTATTCAAAAGAGACAAAAGACCAGAAGATCACCTCACCAGCAATCAATCACCAGCAATCATCACCAGCAATCATCACCCAGATAAGCAAAGGTTACCACCAGGCACACAATCAAGCAGCAAACATATGCCAATCAAAGAACTACCAGAGGAGCGAAACAAAACCCCCACCCTTACCAGCACTGGCAAGGCAGGCCACAGCACATAGAGAGCAAACCCCATCCCATTTTAGCACTGAAGATGTTACCTAGCTGGGTAATGAAACATTTCCAAGAAAAGAACCAAGCTCAGAGAACCCCAAGGACTCCACAGTTCAGCCCTGAGCTACACAAGAAGAAACATGCACGCTGCCTTGAGTTGTACTACATAGAAGCAGGATATAAATATAATAATAACAATAATAATAATCACAAAATATAATGACCTGCAAATAGAAGTAGAACAACCATGGCAAAAGAAAGCAAAGACAGAACCAATCATGGGCGCCTTGGGTGCAATCCCAAAACATCTGGAGCATCACTTGAAGACCATCTTGGCACTGCCAAAATCACCATCAGTCCATTGCAAAAGGCAGCTTTACTTAGAACAGCTTTTATCCTGCAATAAATCCTTTAACACCATCAAACAACATCTGTCTATCCCAGGTCCTTGGGAAGGACTCGATAGGTGGATAAAAATGCCAAATCGAGTCTAAACTTCTGGCTGACTGTGCCACCAACCATAATAATATCAGTACAATACAAAACCAGAATATCTCCCCCAAAAATCAAAGTCATAACCAACACGTTTGTTTTGCATTGTTACCAAACCCTTTATCACCTGTGCAGTAGCCAAATTCTGTGCTGCCACAATGAAAATAAGGCATAACTTATCACAGAAAGAACCACTTCTGTTTTATTCATCACTTGAGGCTTAATACATGTTAGCTAATTTGTTTTAGGTGATATATATTTTTATTTCATACATTGTAATATTTTAGATTTACACTTCCACAGGTAATTAACACACCGTTATAGTAGTGTCTGTTACACTTTTACTGGTTATTTTATCTTTGTTATGCTAGTACAGTATTTTATCTCATCTACCTGATTTTACTTTTGTGGGTTTTTTTAAAATGTTGATGGCCATTGGCCAAATAAACAGTATTATTCCATCTGGTTACCAAACCCTATAAAAAGAAGGCAGCAGAGGTGTTGCCAAAAATCAAACCATGGTTGGTGAACCCAGCAATCTGTAGCAATAACCCAGGATGGTTTTCTTATCCCCACATGATTCAGCCACAAAGGTGGAGAAATACGCCTTGGGCTATCCAGTAAAGGAATGACTTTGGCACAGCTCCCCAATGTACTTTCCAGAGGTGTTGCAACCACAGTTAATCTGCCACAAAGATTTTGACCATACAGCAGAGTGATATTTTATCTATCTATCTATCTATCTATCTATCTATCTATCTATCTATCTATCTATCTATCTATCTATC